TCATAATAATAATAATAATGATAATAGTAATAATAATAACAATAATAATAATGATAATGATAATAATGATAATAATAATAATAGTAATAATAATGATAGTAATAATGATAACGATAATTTTCATTATTATTGTCATCTCTATTATTATTATTATTATTATTATTATTATTATTATTATAAGCATTACCATCAGATATTTACCTGCCATTGAAGATAAACATTTCTATTTCACATTTCCGAGCTGTTGGGTATTTAAAACACGTCACTGAGAAATTACTTGATCTTCAACCTTAGGTAGCGTGAAAGGCCATAATCATTCGCATTCAGGAGATTAATGAAGTTATTGCTGTATTTATTCTATTTATCTATCTATCTTATTTATTTATTTACACCTACTTTATCATATTATTACTAGCGATCTCCTTTTTTTTTTTCTTTCCTTCACGATTCACTTTCAATTTTGTTTTGTTTTGTTTTATGGCTGTCGAGTAAACCCCTTTGTTGCTAGGACTCAATTAATTTCATTTGTTTCCTCCTCCGTTAATGCTATTAAGAACAAAACCGGATAGGGAACTGGAACCTTTAAGGAAATTCAAAGCCTTCAAGATACATTTCCTGTTTAAACCTTCTTCTTCTGACACAGTTACCATTTGAAAATAAACTTAATTTTGTATCTTCCGTCTACGCGTATCTTGGGCCTCGTGATTATGTAGAATCTCTCTCTTTTTTTTTGAGGGATTCGTTTTATTCAAATTGCTGTATTAGCCCTTGTCTTATTCCCTCTCTCCTTCCTCCCTCCCGCCCTCTTCCAATTCAGTTATTTAAATTCTGTTGTAGGCCTCGTCTGCCCCTCGCTAAGAATACGGTCTCGTTCTCTCGTTATGACTCTTCCCTCTATCTCCTTCAATATATACTTCTCGACTTTCGTCATGGTTTCTACTCATTCTACAACAGTTTCTGAACCTTCTGTCATTTTTCTTCACTAAACAGTGATTAGTGAACTTTACAGTGCCATTTTTGCATCTACAGTGACTTTTATTTCTACCTTTACAGCGACTTGATCTTCTACAGTAAGAACTACATCTATTTTAAGGACTTCCACCTTTACGGTCTATTTTTCTTCACACACCTTTTTCGTTTTGCAATCTCCCTTTTTCGTATTTCGTTGCTCGAAATGGAGAAATTGTAAGCTTTCATGCTGTACTTTTTTCCCATACGCAAGAGGTAAGCAATCTTTGCATCGGGAGATCCGGTGAAGAAATTCATTTTATTTTTAGATTTTGATATCTATTTTTTTTTTGTCTCTCCTGGGTTTTATAACTATTAAACTACAAAGCTCTAACTTTTGAAATTTCCTTTTTTATATTACTTTATTTTATTGTTATCTCATCTACAAAACTAAAATTTAGAATTCGTTCGATTTTCAATATTTTTCTCTTCTGTCTATTCTTATTTTCCTTTTCTTCTTCAAAATTTCCTCTGTCTAATAATATCATCTATATTTTCTCTTCGTTTTTCAATTTCCATTTTTTATCGCCTCTAACACACACTCCTTCAAGCCTTCAGTACAAAATTTCATATATTGTATAATTCAACATGAGAATCGATCCAGCGCCGTAGTCGACTCCTGAAACTTTAGTCATGGTAACCACCAAAGTTCTCAGACAAAACTGGAACCAAAATAGCAAAACGAAACAAAATAAAACACAAATGAGAGGAGAAGTTAGTAAAGATTGTCTCAAATTTTTGTTTGTGGCATTTTCTCTATCCATTTTATCTCAGTCAGGCTTTGCGCCACAGGTAGACAGGTCAAACAAATGCTTTTGTATTCATCAAAGTGTATATTCAGTATGTAATCTGTTATAATACTAATTCACACGTGAACACGATAATTATTAACTAAAATCTGCTATAAATGAAATCCTTTACAAATGCTTAGAAATGCATTTTTTTCTGATGGGAAATTATTTGATACATACACATGCACACACAAAGAGAGAGTGAGAAAAATAGAGAGAGAGAAAAGGAAAGTGAGATAGATAGATACATAGACAGATAAAAAGAGAGAAAGAGAAAGAGAGAAAGAGAGAGAGAGAGAGAGAGAGAGAGAGAGAGAGAGAGAGAGAGAGAGAGAGAGAGAGAGAGAGAGAGAGAGAGAGAGAGAGAGAAATAAGAGCGAGAGAGAGAGATAATAGAAAGAGAAAGAGAGAGAAACAAATAAAGAGAGAGAGAGAAATAATAAAGAGAGGAAGAGAAAGAGAGAAGAGAGAGAGAGATAAATAAGAGAGGCAGACAAATAGAGAGAGAGAGAGAGAGAGAGAGAGAGAGAGAGAGAGAGAGAGAGAGAGAGAGAGAAAGAGAGAGAGAGAAAGAGAGAGAGAGAGAGAGAGAGAGAGAGAGAGAGAGAGAGAGAGAGAGAGAGAGAGAGAGAGAGAGAGAGAGAGAGAGAGAGAGAAGAAAGAGAAAAAAGAGAGAAGAGAGAGAGAAATAAGAAAGAGAAAAAGAAAGAGAGAAGAGAGAGAGAAATGATTAATGCAAGAGAAATTATCTCTACCGGAGCGCGGAGGCTGCAAAACTATTAAGGAACACGCACATGTCTAGTTGGTCACGAACCTGAGGTGTCCTGACAAGTCACCCCAAGAACAAAGCTTGAATATAACTATTAAGTTAACATTAATATGCTCATATTCTTCTCTTTGATAACAAGGATTGATGTATTATATAAATACAGCTATTAACAAAGTACTTTAAAGATAATCAAAGAGGTTAGAATGATCATTTGATAAATCGTAAGTAAAGACAATGTTTTTTTTTGCTGTGTCGTGACTCATGATATGATAATGAACGTTCTTTGTGTAGGCTTAGATTTAGTTAAAAAATGTAATTGGAGTTTCAGCAAATAATCATCAGTCTTAGCTCATTTAATAATAATAATAAATAAAAAAAAAAAAAAACAGTTTTCATAAAACAACACTAAGTACACAAATGGATTTCCTAATTTCCAAAATATCTCTTGAAAGTATTTTTTTTTCATAAGAATCTAGCAAACTATATATTTTACTTATTAATGAATCATAAAACTAATTTCCCCTAACCACTACAACAATATATTAATAGGATTAATATAAGAGTATTTGTTTTATCTATCTGTCGATTTTTTTTAATATGGCACAAAACCTATATGAAACAAAGCAGTTGAGAAAACACCCAGGAAACGTCTAAGACAAAATTTCTGACATTTGTTCTTCCGGAAGACAATTCTCAATATTTAGTCTCACGTATGTTTTAGAACTTTCGTATCCTGGTGTATAATTCAGGTATACGGTCTATGTTCGCCGGATATGACAACCCACATAAATAAAAGAACACCACTTAAATAAAAAACGGTTATGATATCTTATAAACATAAGTTACTTTCCTCTAAAACATGTATGCACAGTGTAAACCAGCCCAACCTAAACCTTAACGAACGTACCCCAAAACCTACGAGTTAAATTACAGATATTGTTATATTCCCTACGTCAAATAGACTTACCAAACACGGGTTTCAGTAGGAAATAACTGTAGAAAATAAGTGTTATACGAGTGTTAGGCAGGTGGTTTCACTCGTTTTAAATGTTCTGTGGTTACAGGCTCACATTTTCAATGCTGTGTAGAAGTCGACCCCTGCTTTTGGAAAGAGGACACGAAGGCATATACGTATATATATATATATATATATATATATATATATATATATATATATATATATATATATATATATATTTATTTTCCTTTTTGTAGAGAGACTTTCAGGCTTCGAATGTTGACTTACACAAAGGCATATACGTATTTTTTTTCCTCTTATATCCCATTTTGGTGAGAGACTTTTAGGCTTCGAATGTCGACATACACGAAGACATATACGTATATATATAGTTTCTCATTTTCCCTCTTTTTTTTTGGTCATCCCTAAGACACACTCTTCTGATCTTTAAGACGAAGGTCAGTAATCATCTCGAAGGTCCCCTGATCTCCTCATAAATCTCTCCCCTCAGCTTCCCCTCACTTTTTTTCCCCTCTGTCTCCTTTCCTTCCGAGGTATTTCATTACCCTTCCCACTGGCCCTTCAGAGGGAAAATATACATATCTATATCTACGGATATCTCTCTCTACATCTATAAATCTATGCTGTGAAAATCTGTATCTTTTCATCCATCTATTTATCTGATTTCCCCCACCCCCCCACACATCTGCCTTTGTTTATATCTATGCCCCGTACACTTGATCATCACTACACCTTTATAGGAATAGATGACAAAATCCTATTTAATTACAGTCCGTTCGATCAATTAGGACGCCCAACCAAAAGTGATTTAGGTATAATTAGTCCCCGCCACCTGCGTAATATAGTTTTTAACTTACTTATTTATCATTATTTACTTGTTGTTTTTTATTATATTTATTTATCTATTCATTTGTTTATTTTATTATATATATATATTTTTTTGAGAATATGATCTATTGAAAATTACGTTATGATATATTTATTCTTTTTTTTTTTTTTTTTTTTTTTTTTTTTTTTGAGAATATGATCTATTGAAAATTACATTATGATATATTTGTTTATTTATTTAATACTTTTTTGAGAATATGATCTATTGAAAGTTACGGTATGATATATTTATTTATTTATTTATTTATTTTATTTTTTTGGGAATATGATCTATTGAAAATTACGCTATGATATATTTATTCATTTGTTTATTTATTTTTTTGAGAATATGATTTATTGAAAATTACGTTATGATATATCTACTTATTTATTTATTTCATTTGTTTATTTTTTTCTTTTTTTTTGAGAATATGATCAATTGAAAATTACGTCTTTGGTTCTTCAATGGTTCTTACGACGTTCGATTCAGATATACATTTCGAAAAGACGACTATCATTTTGTCTTTTGGCATTTTTGATATTATCCACTTTAACTCGCTCGCAAACTTTTATGGGGAACTGTGTGTTACAATGCAGTTATTTGGCGATTCTCTGTGTACATTACATGGTGCTTGGTTGTATGATGGTTGAGTGTATTGTGCTTGGGTGTATGGTCGTTGAGTGTATGGTGCTTGGTTGTATGGTGCTTGAGTGTATTGTGATTGGGTGTATGGTGTTTCAGTGTATTGTGCTTGGGTGTATGGTGCTTCAGTGTATTGTGCTTGGGTGTATGGTGTTTCAGTGTATTGTGCTTGGGTGTATTGTGCTTGGGTGTATGGTGCTTGGGTGTATGGTGCTTGGGTGTATGGTGCTTGGGTGTATTGTGCTTGGGTGTATGGTGCTTGGGTGTATGGTGCTTGGGTGTATGGTGCTTGGGTGTATGGTGCTTGGGTGTATGGTGCTTGGGTGTATGGTGCTTGGGTGTATGGTGCTTGGGTGTATGGTGCTTGGATGTATGGCGCTTGGATGTATGGTGCTTGAGTGTATGGAGCTTGAATGTGAATGCGCGGTCCGTGGTTGCGCGTGTGTGAACGAAAGAATACAGTGCATGATTATACATGCGTGAAGACATATGTGTACAGTGCCTGAATGTGCGTGCCTGGACCCATGCGTACAGTACGTAAATGTTCGTGCGTGTGTGAAGGACAGAAAGCAAAAAAAATCGTTGGTCGTATCGCTTTCCATCTGCATTGCGTGATTCAGAAACTTAGGAAAGAGACAGAGAGAGAGAATAAACAAGAGAGAGAGAGAGAGAAAGAGAGATTAAAAAAAAGAAGAAAAAAAAGTGCTTTTCGTCTCTTTAATTGTTTAAAACCATAATCTACCCACATTAGGAACTCGGATATGGTGGAACAGTCAACATTTTAGAATAATTTCGACATCGATTTTCGAATTAACTTCGGCTAATCTATCGTAATCTTCTTCATACCGATGCCTGAAAAGTAAAAAAAAAAAATTTTCACGCAAACCATTATCTTGGATTTAAAAGAAACATAATCTTGTTTCTAAGCAAACAACTCGGCAATCTGGGAACTCTCTGTGTGGATTTAATATTATGGTTATGATATTTCAGCCGAAAGTTATTGTTCGCAGAGTTTATATTTATATTAGTTTGTCCTCGAGTTAACATGTGACACTTAATAAGACAAACAGAAACACACACAACTCACTCAGGCGCACACGCACACACACAAATACACACATTCAAAGGAGGAGAAAGAGACAAAGAGAGAGAGAGAGAGAGAGAGAGAGAGAGAGAGAGAGAGAGAGAGAGAGAGAGAGAGAGTGAGAGTGAGAGAGAGAGAGAGAGAGAGAGAGAGAGAGAGAGAGAGAGAGAGAGAGAGAGAGAGAGAGAGAGAGAGAGAGAGAGAGAGAGAGAGAGAGAGAGAAAGCATCATCGGTGACAATGAAAAATAGAAGGCGATAATGACTGAAGAAGAAAACGAAGAAGAAGAAGAAAACAAGGGAATAATAATAATAAAAAAAGAATATGAGGGGACAGAAGAAGAGAAAATAAGAACACGAAGATTGGAACTAGAAGACAAAGGAGAAGAAACCTGCATACGACATACACATCACAGACACAAAATAACAGCGAAGTCATTTAAAGTTTTGGAATAACATTATGATTCAGATGAAAAGAAAGAGAGAGAGGAGAGAGAGAGAGAGAGAGAGGAGAGAGAGAGAGATAGAGAGAGAGAGAGAGTGAGAGTGAGAGAGAGAGAGAGAGAGAGAAGAGAGAGAGAGATAGAGAGAGAGAGAGATAGAGAGAGAGAGAGAGAGAGAGAGAGAGAGAGAGAGAAGAGAGAGAGAAAGCATCATCGGTGACAATGAAAAATAGAAGGCGATAATGACTGAAGAAGAAAACGAAGAAGAGAGAGAGAGAGAGAGAGAGAGAGAGAGAGAGAGAGAGAGAGAGAGAGAGAGAGAGAGAGAGAGAGAAAGCATCATCGGTGACAATGAAAAATAGAAGGCGATAATGACTGAAGAAGAAAACGAAGAAGAAGAAGAAAACAAGGGAATAATAATAATAAAAAAGAATATGAGGGGACAGAAGAAGAGAAAATAAGAACACGAAGATTGGAACTAGAAGACAAAGGAGAAGAAACCTGCATACGACATACACATCACAGACACAAAATAACAGCGAAGTCATTTAAAGTTTTGGAATAACATTATGATTCAGATGAAAAGAAAGAGAGAGAGAGAGAGAGAGAGAGAGAAATAAATATCATAAAGGACAAAGAAAAGAGAAAAGAAAAAGAAACAAGGAAAAATCAACAACGAAATGCGTATGAAAAATATATTTCCACTTGGCAAAGAAAAAAGCCATTCATTTTAAACATTATTCGCAGAAAAGGATTGATATGTTGCCGACACCCAATGAAATCGCCTTTATTTCCTTTTCTTTTATTTATGTATTTTTTTATCATTATTTTTTTTCTTCACATAAACACACAGAGGAATGTAAGTGAAATGTTTATTTTTTTTTTCTCTCTCTCGTTTTAAAATAATTTCTTCGTAAAATATTTTCTCGTCTTTCTTTCCTTCTAAATAAAACCTTTCTTTTTTATTTTTATTTATTTATTTATTTTATCTCTTCCTGTAGCCGTCCTGGTAATTTCTTTTATTGTACCTTTTCATTCTTTCGTCTTTTTTTATTTTCCTGTTCACGTTTTTTTTCCTCACTTTATTTTATTTTTTCTATATTTTCTTTCTTTTCTTTCAGCATCCTATATCTTCCTCCTCTTTTTTTTTCGTTTTTTTCTACATTTTTTCATCATTTCTGTCTTTTCACTCTTTTAATCTCACAACTTTTTTATTCATTTTTAAATTCTTATCATTTCATTCTCTTCGTCTCTCATCTCTCCTAGTTTTATCCTATTTTTTCAATCTATTCATTTTTATTTTTTTACAGTTTTTTTTTTCTCTTTCCATTTTCAATCTTTCACACTTTACTTTTCAAACTACCCCTTCTTGCCTTCCTAAGTCCTTCGTATTTTGACCTTATCCCCCATTCCTCTCGTTCTAAATCCTTCCTATTTTTTTCCTCCAACCTTTCCATCTCTTCCAACCCTTCCATCCCACATCTATTCCATTTTTCCTCCATTTTTTTCCATTCCTCCTTCCTCCTTCCACCAGCTTCGGATTTCACAGTCCGCAGTCACGGCCAATAAAGACCGGCTCGTTGGCCTCGACCGAGAGACGTCAGCAGGATCGTCTACCGTTGTGTGTTTCCCGATGGGGCTCCGGCGTGACGGTCGCGGAGGTTCGGGATCATTTCGGGAAACGAGAACAGCGTCACGGTCCCGGAAGGAGCGCTGGCGTTCCGGGTGTTGGGAGACAAGGGAGGGAGGATTGAAGGAGGAAGGAGGGGAGAGTTGAGGGAGAAAGGGGTGATGGGGGAAGGGGGGTTGAGGGAGGAGGGGGAGGATGTGGGAGGAAGGTGGGGTGATGGGGGAAGTGGGGGAGGTTTCAAGGAAGAAAGTGGGGGTGATGGAGGAAGTGGGGGGAGAGTTAAGGGAAGAAGGTGGGGTTGATGGAGGAAGGGAAGGGGGAATAATGGAGGAAGATGGGGGAAGGGGGAAAGGTTGATGGAGGAAGGAAGGGGGATGAAGGAGGACAGGGGGAAAGGCTGCTGGAGGAAGGGGAGTGGGAAGGGGTGGTGATGGATGAAGAGGGGGGGGGGGTCAAGCACAAAAGGAACAGGAGTTGGGGAAGAGTGACGGAGAAGGGGTAGGCATACTGGAAGAGAGGAACGCAAATATGAAGAAAAAGGGAGAGGATGATAACATGAGGAAGAGATACTGATACGGAAAAGGAGGAAAGACGAAGGGGAGGAAGGAAGGAGGATGAGAAGAAGGGAAGAAGGAAGGGAGGAGGAGGAGGAGGGATGTAATCCGTCTATAAAGCCAAGACATCTACGCCGGAAACTGCCTTGAGGAAGTCGTCTAACATGATATACGGCCGCGCCCAGCCACCATACAGCGCTGTAAACCATCATAGACCTCGTAACAAAACCCAGTAAATCGTACTCCATGAACAATCCCCCCTCTCCCCTCCTCCTCCTCCCCTCCCATCTCTTATTTTCTCCTCTCCCCCTCTCTTTTCCCATCCCCCACCTCCCTCTCCCCCTACCCCCTACCCCCCATCTCTTATTTTCTCCTCTCCCCCTCTCTTTTCCATCCCCCACCTCCTCCTCCCTCTCCTCCTCTCCCACGTCCACGTCCACGCCCTCCCCCCCCCTCTCGCCCATCCCCCCCCCCCCCCAGATGCAAACCCTTTGGCTTCGTCGTCACGCCTCGAGTCCCATATTCCGAATATGAATAAGGAAGATAGGGAGTAAGGTAAAAAAAAGAAAAGAAAAAAGAGAGAGAAAAAAGAAAAACCTGGTATGTTCTGAATATAAATAGGAAATGTAGTAAAAAAAACACACACACAAAAAAAGGAAGATGAAGACTCTCTCAGCTTAAGAAATAAAGACACCGAACAACCAAAGGGGAAGAAACACAAGAAAACAAAAGAAGACAATAAAGAGGACACAGAGACAAGAAAAGGAGGCACACAAAAATCCCACGAAACAAAAACTACAAGTCATGTCTTCCAAAGCTGAGAACTCCGCGCAGCTATTTCTCTGTTGTGTGGATATTGCAAAGAAAAAAAGTTGAAATTATTAATGTGGGTAAATTTTGCCTGATGATTTCAACGTGAGGCCAATATCTTTGAAGAGCTTTGAGTCATACGGCCATTTGGATAAAGGCAATTGGGTGTGAAATGGTGAGAGATGGAGAGCTGGAGAAAGGAAGGGAGAGAGAGAGAGAGAGAGAGAGAGAGAGAGAGAGAGAGAGAGAGAGAGAGAGAGAGAGAGAGAGAGAGAGAGAGAGAGAGAGAGAAAGGAGAAGAGAGAAAGAGAGAGAAGGGAAGGAGAAGAGAGAAAGAGAGAACAGAAGAGAAGAGAAGAGAGAGAAGAGAAGAGAAGAGAAGAGAGAGAATTAGAGAGTAAGAAAAGAGAGTATACACACACCCGCAAACACACATATATAAATATATAAGCCGCGATGGTCGTTAAAGCAACTGCTTCTGAAAACATATATAGGTATATATAGAGAGAGATGCAAACACACTCTCAGATGGATTGACTGATAGATAAATAAATAAACAGACAGGCACACAGGCAGAGGGATAGATATATATATAGAGTATATATATATATTATATATAGACTAATGGACAGAGAGATAAATAACAGAGGTAAATATAGAAAAATCCAAATATTGATAGAAAAATATATATATAAATAAATAGGCAGATGGATAGATTAAATGATACCCGATGAGATAGAAATAGATGAATGGACGGACAAAAAGATAGATGGAAAGAGAGAGAGAGAGAGAGAGAGAGAGAGAGAGAGAGAGAGAGAGAGAGAGAGAGAGAGAGAGAGAGAAGAGAGAGAGAGAGAGAGAGAAGAGAGAGAGAGAGAGAGAGAGAGAGAGAGAGAGAGAGAGAGAGAGAGAGAGAGAGATAATGAGAGAAACCGTCATGCAAACAGAGGAATCGATT